AGCTCTGATCTCGACCCAGGCCGCGGACCCAGAGAAACTGCCAAACCATGTCCAATATGGAGAAACACCTGTTCAACCTCAAGTTCGCGGCCAAAGAACTGAGCAGGAGTGCGAAGAAATGCGATAAAGAGGAAAAGGCGGAAAAGACCAAGATTAAAAAGGCCATTCAGAAGGGCAACATGGAAGTTGCGAGGATACACGCCGAAAATGCCATCCGCCAGAAGAACCAGGCGGTGAATTTCTTGAGAATGAGTGCGCGCGTCGATGCGGTGGCTGCCAGAGTCCAGACGGCCGTGACGATGGGCAAAGTGACCAAATCGATGGCCGGTGTGGTTAAATCGATGGACGCGACATTGAAAACAATGAATTTGGAGAAGATCTCTGCCTTGATGGACAAATTCGAGCACCAATTTGAGACGCTGGACGTCCAGACGCAGCAAATGGAAGACACGATGAGCAGCACAACGACGCTGACCACTCCTCAGAACCAAGTGGATATGCTGCTCCAGGAGATGGCAGATGAGGCTGGCCTTGACCTCAACATGGAGCTGCCTCAGGGCCAGACGGGCTCCGTGGGCACCAGCGTGGCCTCGGCCGAGCAGGACGAACTGTCCCAGAGACTGGCCCGCCTTCGGGATCAGGTGTGATTGCTGAGCCCGCTCTGCGGGTTACTGGCCTTCGCCACCTACTGTAATGCTCTCTGTGTAGTAGAGAGGTACTTTCCACCAAAAACTCTAAATATGCCAGAATGCTGAAATGCTCTTTATTTAATATGCGTCTACCTTTGGGCTTACAGCGATCTCCAGAACTTCAGGCTTTATTCACTCTCAGCTGAATTTTATAGTTATGTATAACTTGTGATGATGTGTATTTTTATAGCTGCCTTTGGACAGTACAAGTTAATTTGGGGTATATGAATCTTTGTAAAAAATTTGATCAAAACTCTAGTTACCATGTACTTGGTTTTGTGCCCTGAGTTATCAAATTGAAAGTGCTTCTTTTTATGAAATGTTAATTGATAGTACCAAAAATTGACAGACGGTGCATAAAAATTGAGAGGAGAATGAATACTTTTTTTGAATACATGGCGATAAACACCTCACTCTGCATACTTAATGAATAATGTTATTTCTGTGTATTTCTTAGGGGTTTTTTTGCCACCAAAATGAGACTACAATTGACTATTAATCTGTTCTCATAGTACTAAAATGACTTTAACACATTTTTGCATAATGCTCTTACTGTTTACAGTCTATAATTTTTTTCATGTGATAAAGGATAACTGGAAAAAAATGTCACAACGTCATTATGTCATTTTTGCTCATTTATATGTTTTTCAAAGGCAAGGCTTAAGATTTGGCATTTCTTTCTATTTCCATCTAGCCCTTTAATTAGGCTTATTATAAAGTATGTTAATTAACTTGTCAGTTACATTACTCACTCTAACATTGCCAAAGAACTGTTGGTTGGTTTGGGGAAATCCTGAGACTGTGTGTATGTGTTTGTGTGTAGGTTTTGTTTTGTTTCTAAAAATCAAAAATAGAAATAAAATTAGAACTGCATTTAAGTTCTAATTTTTTGCATTAATATATCTTTTAACAACAACTCTTAAAGAACCTTAGAAATATAAGCTGACATGTTTTATTTTGCCTTGCAACTAAATGTACATCAAGCCAGCTGGAAGTTTGGGAAGAAAGACGTGGGTAGGAGTGCCTCTCTAAGCCCAGTGGTACCACCTTTCGTATTCCTGGAAATGGTAGCTGGTTCTCTGGCTAAAAAGAACCGCATCCTGCCACTGTTTTCTCATGGCCTCAAAAGATGGAGAACAGCAGCTTGCTTTGCCTTGGCATATATATATATATATATTAATCTAAATTTAACTACTTATGGATGCTTAATTCCTTTTTTCCCTCACTGGAAGATTTCTCTGTAAGAGAACACCACTGTACCAGAAGAATAATTATAGGAACTTTTCCAAGTCCTTACACAAATAATTAACAGGTGTATGCAGATTAGGATGGAGCATCATATTTAAATTACTTTGCATTTGACTGATATTGTTCAGAAGTCTTCCATAAGGGATGCTTCTTGATTATCTGCCCCACATCTATTTTTAGAGTCCATTCCTCTCCATTTCTCCTCTTATCAACATGGTTGTCCCAGAAACAGCCATGTGTATGTGCAACGTGGTCTTAACTTCTCTTTAGACTGGAGAAAAATTATTAACATCTTAAACATAACTTAGTGTTGAATCCTTAGGCAAATCAAAGAGCCTTTTATAGTGCAAATATTCCCAACAAAATTAATATATTTTATGAGATTAACCAATGTTTGTATATGCATAAACTCTCTGAAAATATGATGAACCATAAATATTATTTTGAAAAGTACACTAGGCCAATGAATTAATCCCTCATTTTTGCAGTTGATGAAATGCTGAAATGTAAATCAAAGAAATTTGCCAAATAAATAATTTTAAATTGCATGTTACAGTATATGAGTGTGCATCCTATTTAAAAGCTGTTTTTAAGAGAAGAATTCAGAACGCATGGTAGTTTCCCAGACTCACCCCTCAGCCTTACCACTTGTGTTTTTGTTTGGTTAGCATGGTATTTCTATTCATATTTCTAGAAATCTTGGCTATTTCTTTCTTACTGTAATTATCTCTTCATGTCAACAAGATTCTTCTTCATATTGCAACTTCCATGGGCCAGATACAGATATAACATATAAAAAGGATCCTTCTGAAATACTGTTGTTGTTAAGTACCGTAGAGTCGGTTCCAACTCTAGTGACCCTGTACAGGGTTTCTAAGAGTGTAAATCTTTACAGGAGCAGAAAGCCTCATCTTTCTCCCGCATAACAGCTGGTAGTTTAGAACTGCCGACCTTGAGATTAGCAGCCCGATACGTTAACCACTATGCTACCAGAGCTTTCTAAAATATACCAGGAAAATATTTAATCTTCCATGCAATGATGTTCACCTTTTTTTTTCCTTATGCCTTCAAACAATTTCTGACATGAATTTGGAACTATTGAAAAAGATTAGAGTGGATTGATCAGTAAACTTAACTTTGTTCCCCCAACTTTTGGTGTATTTCAGTGCAGGAACCTAGGTGATACATGCACACTATTCAAGAACTTTCTTATTAAAACTTCATTTGAGCTGTATTATAATAACTTCTTCCTGAGAGTGTTAACGCAGGCACCCATCTACGCTATACAAATGTACCCTGGGCATAGAGCCTACTTTGTGCTGACCTGCCATCTTTGATTTGGAGGCAATCCCCTAAAATAAGTACCAGTCTGATAACCTGCTTATCTGAACATCGTGTCAGGGTCAGCCAAATCTCTCACTGATCTGGAGTGAGACCCCTTGTTTTCCAAAGATACCTCCTCTGCAATACATACAACACCCACTTGGAGGCATTGTAGCCAAAATCAAAAGCTCAAAAACCTTGTAAAATTGGCAGTAACTGCAAGCCAGTGTACATTAAGGAAACTGTTGAGCAGGCTCCTGTAAATTCTTATTTTTATTAGCTAACTGAAAGTAGCAAAATGCCTGCCTGGTATACAAAGTTAGTTGTGTATTTTTTGTTTTTTGTTTTTTTTTTACAGTTAGATAGTAAATTCCACCTGGATCAGCATCAGTGTGTGTCTTGGTTATGTTTATATCCCTTGGGCTGGGTGTGGTGCTCATGGTAGGCTTGTCTGGAGGGAATTCCTGCCTAGAGCATGGTAGTAACAGCATATGGCATAAGCAGGAGGTGCCGGAGGCCATGTTGTGGGAGGACAGTGTCCCAGATACCCCTAGAAGGACAATGTCCTCTTCCTTCTTAGCATTTATCCAAATTCAAATGTCCCCCCTTGCTCTTCAGAATGTATCTTCTCTTTCTTTTGAGTAACGTCAGGACAGATAGTGCCGCACGGTTCCTTCAGAGTGGCTGAATACACTAAAAGTTGAATGAAAAGACCTCATGTGTTGGCTCTGTGGGTTTGTTTGTTTGTTTTCTAGAGGTAAAAGGTGTGCTCTGCCCTTAATGGTGTTCAGATAGGACACACACAGGAAAGTGTAAAGCAATAACCCAGCAGTACAGTGAATATTACAACACTGTACACTATGAATCTTATGCTTCAATTTTTAAAAACAGGTGTATCGCATTAGAAGGCAGCATGTTGTTGTTAGTGCTGTCAAGTCGATTCTGACCCATAGTAACCCTGTATAGGGTTTCAGAGGAGTAACTGATGAGTTTGAACCACCAATCTTGCAGTTCAAACCAGCCTTACAGCCAAGTGTTTATCCTACAGTGCCACACAGTATAAATGGGACAATTCAGTCCAGGGGAAGGGATTTCAGGATCCATGACTTCTTAGAGAAGGCAGGATTTAGTCTGCATTTAAAGGGTCTGAGAGGCCAAAGACTACTGTGAGGCTTTGGAAATCAGATTGAAAAGTGGACTTTATCCCAAGGAAAGAAGGAGGATGATTGACTCATCAGCATCTATTGGCCAGGTGAACAGAGATTAGAATCCAGATTTAGGGCCTGTGAAAGGAGAAGAAAAAGTACTTTTCCAACTTCAGTACACAGCTGAGGCTCTTGGGGCTATTGCTCATTCAGTGGCTCGGTGTTTGTCACATATTGCTGCTGACCTGAAGACCACCTTTTCAGTAATGCAGATCTTCACCTGGCGGCACTGTATCACTGCATAGGTAATATTTTCCCCATCAGTATTCTTACATCATGTAGATACTTATCACTAGGATCAGGCGGTGTTTCATTCTGCTGTGCATAAGGTCACTATAAGTCGGTACCAACTCAATGGCACCTAACAACAACAACAAATTTCAGTTACACTGTTTTGTTTTACTTGCCTTGGCACAGTTTCAAATTGCCATATTTTTTAGAAAAGAAAATAATGTTAAATACATTAGAATTAAATTTGTAGTTGTTAAGTGACCCTGTATTTGGTATCTGAGGAGTGGCTAGTGGGTTTGAACACTGACCTTGTGGTTCAAACCGACCTTCCCGTCCAGTGTTAACCTACAGTACAACACCAAGAACCCACAATTTAGCTGGTGCTTTTCTCAGATTCATTTGCTTAATTATAAACACACTGGATGGATTAGTTCTCATCTGTTCATGACTCTCCTTGTCCCCTTTTTATTCCATAATCATAGGAATGCTGACATTTGAGTTGTATTAATGAATATCACATTTTAACAGGAGCACAGTGGCTCTGTAAGATAAACACTAGACTGCGAACCACAAATGCTATGGTTCAAGCCCACCAGCTGATCTGTAGGAGGAAGATGAGACTTTCTCCTCCCACGAAGATTTTGCTTTGAGTAGGAACTGATTCGATGGCATTCAACAACAACATAAACAATGAAATATTCTTTTGTGCCAACATCAAACACAGGGTACATCTAACTGATCAGAATAAAAATGGTTCTGTTAATGTGAATATCTTAAACTATAGCACGAAATACTTGGGAGCAAAGTAAATTTATATTGGTTTTATAAATCTAGTTTCCATAAATGGAATTTTTACTATTGTAATTTGGTTTTTTTTTGCAACTCTGTATTGATTGTCAGAGTGGATAGTCTGCAAAATGAAATCTTAATCCACTTACTTTTTTCTGTTCA